CTTCTTACGCAAATCCCCTGACACCGTGGGACTCTTCGGGTTCAAGTAGAGTTTCTCGAATGCCTCTCGAGAAATAGGCAGGAAAACGCTCTCCGCCGTTTGGATGCGGCGGAGAGGCTCGTCTGACTTTTCATTGATCACACCGTTTGACATGATGTTTGGTAGGATATAGCCAGAAGCAATTCAGATGGTTGGTGAAAGAAAAGCAGGGCAGCACCTCCGGTCAAGCATTCCAAGGACGGCATTTTATAATTGTAGAAATCTTGTTTCCCTCTTAGTGTATGGATTCCCCTTGGCTCCATCATCAACGAATCATGCGATACATCGTCCTGCCTCATCCCGGCGATCTCAATACTCCCGTTGGGGACTTTTCCGGGGAAACGCGGGGGAAACAGCGCAAGTGGGTCGTCGTCTTCGGCGTGGCTTCCCCGCACCTTGTTTAGATTTGAGCAAATGCCGAGGACACGGCATTAACACTTATGCTTATTCCCGCTCTGCAGACAGCTTATCTACTTGTTCTTTACAGAGAGATCTAGAAGTCTGGCTGGGGTTGGTCTCCTTCTGATTCTTTGTGCTTGAAATCTATGGGAATGGTGACATTTCCATCACATATCCTCTCTTGTACATCATTTCTATACACCACTACCTTTGTACATCCCTCGGGAGTCCCCTGTAGGGGGCCATCTCCAGTAGCATATTACCGAGGTCAATGGCTCATTTGGACAAGACCCACTGAAAATGTTGGAGCTAATCTAATCCCCGCCAAAAGAGCGATAACTCCATGGTTGAAAGTTGAAACTTCAAAATGGGCTTAGCGACGCTACCGGTGTCCCCAGAAGCTTAGATGATGTGCAACTATCGAATACTATATCCAACCACGCGACATCAAACGTGGCTAGACAACCATATTTAGCATAGTTGAAATAGTAGTGTACTGCGTGTCAACATACTATTGCTCAAAGTTGCCACTAGCGCAAAGACTACAACATGCAGTGCAGGATAGCTCAAAAGGTGTAAATGCAGATAGGCCGATCTGGCCTGTATTGATGATGCTTGTCATTTGTCCATGTCCCTCCCCAGCTATCGCAGCTCCCACGGCAGTTGTTGTTCCCTGATCTTACTAGTTTGATGTTCATAAACTTAATGTCAGTTGCAAACTTACTATTTCCTCCCCATGGTGTCGAACTTCGGGTGAAAGGATACTCCGAGCATGTATTGGCTAGCCCCTTTCCCAAGACATGGATGCTGAGTATATCTCCTGCCAAATCCGGACGATGGCGTGGCGACTGCTCTCCTAGGAAGGTTGTAGTGCTAAATCGTCGATAACTCGCCAAGAGGATCAATCTCCTTTGTCGCCCATAAAATGGGCGGGGTGGCAGTGCCCCTATCATAGAGTTTTTGCGCTAGACCTGCACAAATTTGTAACTTTGTAAGGTAGCAGCTACGACTACTGTGGTACTGACTTTCGTCAACGTTTCGAATAGGACGAACTGAACTGTCTAGTATACCTAGGCGAAGCTACACTGCAATGGACAAGGCATATACACTCGCAATATGCCCCTGAAACAAGTCAATTAAAGATATTTAGGCGGCTCGAAAGCTGTGCAAGAGATCCTTTCGCCTAGTTGCGCTGTCAACCTTTGCAGTAGTAACTAGGTGACTGGATGACAAGCGGACAGGGGGCGTCGTACCGGTATAGTCATTGAAGCGTGAGCGAAGAGAAAATACATAATACATTAATATACAAATATCCGAATAAATGTTCTGCTAGAGTAGGTACAATTCTGTTGTAATGACATGACGCGAATTTTAAGATCCGTCCAGTATCCAGCTTCTACACACTCTGTGGTTCAGGCTGAGCACCAGACGTCTCCATGTGCTCATTTGTGCCCGCCGCGCGCTTCTCGGACTCATTGCGCGGATCCACCTGGTCAGGAAAGACATACTTGGAGCTGTGCCACGGCTTGATTTTCCACACGTACATCGTGTCGATCTCCTCCAGCGTTCTTCCCTGTCCCTCCATAACGGTGAAGTACACCATCCCGGCAGCGAGGAACAAGCATCCCGCAAAGACGTAACCATATCGGAAATCAATTGCACCGGTGATGAACGGTGTGAAGAAGGCGAGTAGGAAGTTCCACAGCCAGTTGGACGCGGTCGCCAGGGACATGGCACGAGCTCGGTACTGGGATGGATACAATTCCGCGATGATGGTCCAGACCATTGGACCCCACGTGGACGCGAACCCAAGAATGAAGAGACAGGCGAATACCACCATGACCACACCGGCGGTGTGAGTTCGTTCCGGAAACTCACGGTCAAGCGAGAAGTGGCCGACGGAGGCGAAGACCATGAAACATACGAACATCCATAGGGCACCGGCAATGAGGGACCGACGACGACCATAGTTCTCGATGAGGTACAGACCTAGGAAGGTGGTTCCAAAATTCACGCCACCCAGAATCATTTGCGTGACGTAGCTGTTGGAGATACCAGCGCCCTTGAACACGGTCGTTCCATAGTAGAAGAAGTAGTTGGCGCCGGTGAGCTGCTGGAGGGCCTGCAGGGAGACACCCACCGCGACACGATACGCCATACGCGGGGCCCGGAAGAGGTGAACCCAGGTGACCTGACCACCAGCCACTTCTTCCTCATATTTCTGTTTGATCTCCTCGAATTCGAGCTTCAGAGCGCGATGGTTCTTCGGGATGCCATACATCTTTGAGAGCGTTGTAATGGCCTTATCGATTTTACCATGTCGGTAGTCATATCGAGGGCTCTCAGGGAACATGGCCATGCCGGTACCAAGAATGAGGGCCCAGAGGTATGTGACGCCCATTGGGATACGCCAGGAGCCAGTATCGGCTCGTGCTTCAGTGCCAAAATTGATGCAATTGGCTACGAAGATACCGAGTGTGATGAACAATTGGTAGGTACTGTGGCCGTCAGCGCTGTATTTGGCAGCACACGGAATTCAACGACTTACCTGACCAGAGAACCACGAATATGTCGAGGACCGGACTCTGCCATGTACATAGGGACCAAAAGGGAGAGGGCACCGACACCCAATCCGGCAACCCAACGGCCAACCGCTACCTGGTACCACTTCCCGCTGGGAGAGGAGATTTGAACGGTGATTCCAACACAGACCATCAGTGACCAGCCAGTGATGGACCACTTCCGACCGATGCGATCCGCAATAGGTGCAGCGATCAAAGCTCCGATCAACGTTCCAATCGATAGCTTTCACTGGTCAGAAGAGAAACATTTCCAGGGGAAACTGAAGTAAACATACCAGCGCGACAATCAATCCGGATCGGACGTTGGAGAAGTAAAACGTCCCGTCCGACTTTTGTTGACCGTACCGTTGCAGGAAATTGTTCATCGCCAGGAATCCCGAGATCTGACCGGTGTCGTAGCCGAACAGGAAACCGCCCATGGAGACAAACACGCCCATGATGAACGACCGCCAAGTCAAGAGGGGAATATGAGTATCGACCAACTGACCGTCATCACCCGCGATGGCAGTCTGGGAGTGCGTATCGGATGCCACATTGTCCTCCTGGTAGTAGGCGTCAGGATTGGCCTGAGGCAACTTGGGTTTCTTGAACAGCATGTTCACTACGAATCACCGGAATTTTAGTCCAATTAGAGTTCTTTTGATTAGAGTGGGAGTCAGCTCTGCAGTGGACGACGGATCGTAAGTCCATCTCGCAGCTTCACAGAAAGTAATAGCGTCCTATATAATACAAATTCTCCGCCAAGCCCCATGAGGTCATACACAAGCACGCCCAGTTGGGACGCCTTGTGCATCACTACGAAGCATCATCCTAGCAGCCTCACGGCCTCAGTCCCAATCATCCTGTCATCGTCGGTGATCCCCGCTTGGGTCTCTGCTCACGTGGAGGGTTGAATTCCCGCAACTTCCGTGGTACAGAGTAGCAATTCCTGTTCCTCCACAATCGCAAAGAGACCGATGAATGAGATCGCGAATATTCCGCCGACCCACCAACAGAGAGTTTAGACGACCTGTTCAAGAGAAAGTTTCGGTTCTAGACGCAGCAGTTGTGGGTGGCGGATCCTGGGGCAGTCCGGGGAAGAGCGCGTCGTTGCCGTCATCGTCCGCAACCGGTCAGCCCACGGCGACTTTTGACAGGTCGATGGCCCGCCAATAAGCTTCACTAGCTATCACTGATGACCGCAGCCAAGTCTCTCGATTCATCATCGTGTCTGGTGGCTTGATGGGAAGCTTGTTTTTTCGTCATGTGGGGTGAATAATTACTCTAGGGGGGTACAATGCATGGTGCAATATGTTAATAATGTCGAGTGCACAGTGCTTATTCCACCTCAATTCTTTGACCATTCTTATAACACCCGTGGCTTGTGCAAACTTCAACGGCGAACTGAATTCTACTCCAGACATTTGTCTACCACAAAATTAATTAACGAAGAATGGTTCTCTTATTAGGCGAGAAGCAGACCCCATATAGATCGGACCACCTCCACCGATCGGGAACCCCATAGCTAAATTGATCCGATAAGCTTTTACACTTATGAGTGGGTTCATTGGGATTGTATCCAACTGTTCAGTGTAATCTACTAGCTTGTTGGGTCCACAATAGACCGCGTCAGCTTTTATCCAGATACTTGTTCGATGAAAATGCTCAATACGTTGGCCAGACTACCGATGGGGCATTTCCCATTTCGAGCTCTGCTCGGCGCACGCGAACGTACAATCAAATAGATAGACCAGCCCCTTGCGTTCTTTATGTCTTGCAATATAGCTCGTAATTCAGCTCTGGTTATTATCCCTGACAAAATAAAAGGGACAGCCGGGAGATTGAAGGGAAAACCGTCATGGTGAGTAAGCAAGCGGGATACCGCAATAGGAAGGTCGCCCCTGAAAAAATCTTCGCATGCGAGGCAAAGTCATCTTGCTCTATGACAGTCTATAATGCAAATATGGTACACTCTATATCTAGAGACAGCACAAATTCCACTCAAGCAACAAGCGGCACATCCTGCGGGCCAACATTATTCAACAAGCTCAAGAAGCAGTTCCATCCTAGCTCAGTTAGCATCAGAACCAAAACGTAAACAGGGATCAGATCATACCAATATTCAAAACATTGACCGTCAGCACCCGGTACTGCAGCGGCACAAGCGCAAAGTTCACCAGCTGCAGGAAGGGCCACACCGTCCAGTTCGCTTTCAGCGCTGGCCAGTACGATCTCTCCAGCTTCTCACTGGGACTTCCGCCCTCCAAGACGGACATGCTGGACAGGAAAACTCCGATCATGGTGGGAGCAAATAGTAACTGGTCGGCTGCGACGCGGCCAAGGACAGTCCGTTGTGCGGAGGGCAGATTGATGCGCCTCTGCAAGACCTGGAACCATTTTGTAGCCAGGGGACCGAAAACAGCTACTACTGTTAGGAGGGTACAGTTATAAGGAAGAGGTTAGCCTACCACCACCGTAAAGAGCCATTCGTCCTGTACGGATCACATCATGCTGAGCGATACCCCTTTTCTCCACGGCTTGTTGGGCGAGGCTGTCTCCGACAGCGAAGAGACACTGTCTGCAATGAATAACTGATTCAAATTCCTCCTGAGGATAGAACTAACCGCAGTCGTCAAGCTTTGCGTCAACAGAGGACGCTGGACTAAACTCCGCTGGTACCTATATCATATTGTGTGAGCGTGTCATTCGCTGCCCGTGCCTAGTATCTTACCATTGAAACATTGTGATTTTTCAAATAGAACGTTTAAAAAAAAATAAAAAAAAATAAAGGATTCTGAACAATTCTATATATGAAGGTAATTGAAGGTTGTTGATAAAACTTGATCCTGAAAGGGGGAACGTCACCCCTTTTAGGATCATCGCGTACTACTCCACATGGTTTCGGAAGTCTGAAAACGGAAATCCACCCGCTATGAAGTCATGGCGGGCCTCAGGCACACTCAGGCACACCCTGTACATTATCAATCGATCCATTCACTTAAAATCCCATTGAAGCCGAGTCAAATTCCTCAGTGCTACCCTGGTAAGAAATTGGGACTGCAACTACAGCAGTTACCACCCTCGAATCAGCGGTTATGGTGAGAGTAGATAGGGGGAGCAGAGTTCTCTACTGTTGAGATATATTACACCAACTAAGGTATGGATATGAGATCCTGGACTGATGAGGACCATGTCTAGACACCTTTTTACATCTACTCGATGAACGTGAATTCTGTACGCAACGAAGAAAGTCCAACATTTCTGTCTTTAGGCCATACAACTTCGTAGATCAAGGCCATATCTAGAGGAACGCGCCCGGCACATACCCCAACAACACATCCTTCCTCGCCAGCTGCCTTAACCGCTGCAGTGTATCCGAACTGGTCGAGATCCCCTGAATCTGGCACTCGCGGCCAATACTATTCGTCAGTTTATCCAGAGAGATATGCGCAACACTCTTTTTGTTCGCGAGTACCTCCACCTCATCCTCGGCCACCTTGCGCGCACAGTCATACATGGCTGTATACCGAATTAGATCGGGAGACATGCGCACTTCGTCGGACTGGGGCTTTTTTGAGTCGTGGCAGCAGGAACGGCATGCTGTCGTGATGAGGGCAAAAGAGGGGCTGTCGTTTGATAGTTGAGCTAGGGGCGTTCCCTGGATGCACTTGATGAGCACCATTCTGATGCAGTGGATGCACAGGACGAAGAGGCTCTGGTCTTTGAGCGACGTTGGTCGCTTTTCTGTGGATTCGAGTGCTTTCTTGGATTCACGATGCTCCGTTCTTGGTTCGTGATGCTCCTTTGTAGGTTCGTGATGCTCCCTTGTTGGTTCGTGGTTCTTCGTAGCTTCGTGCACTTCCGTCGGCACAATATGCAGCTTTGTCTCATCAGCTTCTGCAACTGGGAGGGTTCTATTGACTGCCGATTTGGTCTCGCTGGACACTGAAACAGTCCCGTAGACAAGCGGTTTAATCCCATTTTGTACTTTGTTAGTAGTACTGATAAACTTCAGTTGCCCGTTAGGTGAATCCGCCTTCTTGGGCGACCCGATGGCGGTTGGGGGGTTTTCAGACGAGATATCTGATGTTGTTGGCGGCAGTAATTCAGAAGCAGGCATCTCCTTGGCCAGAACACGGGGTCCAAATTCATCTTTAGAATCTTGGGATCCATTTTCCCGGGGCGACCGGTGGTGCCGAACCGTTTGAGATTCCAATACTGCCGGTCCAAAATGGGGCAGCGGTTTATACCACTGGGAAGTATTAGCCATGTCGACCAATAGCATGGCAGATGTACATACCATGGTAGGATTCCTCAACAGCTGCCTTGCAAGATCAATGAACGGTTCATGTATGTTCCCCAGATCCATGACAGACATCTCCACATAGCCCGTTCCTTTCTTCTTGGGAAAGGTGATTGCCTTTGGCGGCAATTTGGCATCCATCGGGGCATCATCCTTGTTCCCACAGATGCAGATGGGAATATACTTCCCAAGACGCATCCCGTCCTTGTTCACGAGGCTTTCTTTACGGTTCCGTCAGCGATGGCCCAGTATGGAAGGTGCTATACATACGGTACCAATTAGGTACATTGTTATACGAAATTCGATCAGTCAGATCAAACATGATAATCGCAGCATCGATCTCGTCGAATTCACTCGAAGCCAGGGTGTTTGGTTTCTGATTGCCGCTGACATCCCAGACCTCGTACCTCACCGGGCCGACGGTCTAGAACATGAGTAATTGTATTATGGCCAGGCGGAAGAACTTACCGTGTGTAGAAGGATATCATGTTTCTCAACATTAGCCGTTACCGGTAACGAATGCTCGAATCTCTTTTTGAGATATCGGTGCAAGAAGGCCGTCTGCGTTGGTTAGCCAAGGCCCACGGTGGAGATGAGGAATCACAATACCTTGCCCACACCGGAGTTTCCCACCAGGAGCACTTTGAATGTCCTGGTATCCTTGGTCATTTTGATATGGATATTCACTTATTCGCTGGAGAACAATTATACGATCAGTGGAACGGTAGTGGAATATCATTCACAGGGATAATCCAATTCCAGGCATGGGTCCCTACGCGCCAGTGTGGCTGGTCGGAATGTGGGGTATTAGGTATCATTCGCTTATTATTTAAAGGATGATCTGGCCGATCGCCGATATTGGGCCTGAACCGGGATCTATTATTGTGTACAGATGTATATAGACATTAATGTCCTCCCATGATTCTGACAAATAAATTATTTCCCACAATATTCTATACTAAGCCAAGAGACAAGAGACAAGCTCCATATAGAGTCCACTCCGCATAGGGACAATATCATGTCAACCCCTAGTAGTTCTCGACGGTAAAAGGACCAGCCGCATTGAACAAGGTTGGCATCTATAATCTCAGTCAGCTTATACTCTAGTCAACCCCATGTCAGAAGGGCTGCATACCTGCGGCGCCGTCTCCAAAACCGTCTCGATCCGCAAATACCACAGCGAGTCATCCTCGACATCAGGTAGTGACTTCGGGATCTGGGCCCTGAATTTTCCATCCTCCTCCTTAATCCCTCTATAGAGAATGACTGTCTGTTCAGCATTGACCCCAGTGGGGCCAGGCTGGGGGTTGTTATACATCACGATCTTGTAGTCGCTGCCAGGATACTCGCACAGAGGATCAGGGCAGTGGCCTGTCGGGTTGCGATTCCAGCGAAACTCGATCTTGTCGCCGAAACCCACGGTGGCATTATCGGGGAGACCTTGAAAGACGTTGATGCAGGGGTAGTCGCGTTTTCCCCATGCTATGGCGTGTACTGGTGAGTCTCGGGGCAGGTGGTGAGAATGGGGTCTGACTTACGCTGGTTCTTGTCAAACGCGGCGGCGCAGACGGTGAGGAGGGAAGAGACAATGGCAGTGGTGATCTTCATTGTGTAGATACTCTGTGATTCAAGGCAATCTGAATGTGTGACTGAAGGCAGTGTTGGTGGATGGGATGAAGAGTAGGGCGCCCCGGGGTTTACATGTTTTTGAATCCCGTAGTCTGTCATCTTCTGCAGAGCTGTTGGGCTTCTGTACCGGACCAGATAGACGATGTCCATTGGAAAATATGAGACTAGTTTCTGGGCATGCAAAGGTCTCAGATCCTCAAGGATTCGAGGAACTTTATTAACCTCATATAATCCTTCACAATTTCCCCCTGCCACTCTAAAATCATTCCTTCTAATATATTACCCCTTTTCCCCAATCATTCTCAATATGTACTCTTGGGGGTTGTCACTTAATGGTTGATACTGCATAGTAGACCTTACTGGTTTTCACCTTACTATATTCCGGTGTAGCATAACCTCATCACGGCCTTGGTTTACCCCAGATATCCTGAAACTAACTGCAACCGGTTCAAGTCTCAGGGACAATCTCCGATCTCCTTCCGTAGGAAAAGTGACGCAAGTGAGACATCGACGCGTTGGCCGCTTTGGCATTATGATCAGCCACTTTGCAGCGAGGCTGTGTTATATATTTAGCCTGTCTTCTGTGCCGAGCATCCTGGCTGCTCCCTGTCTCGGACACACAGTCATGTCTGCTGTCCAGTTAACTTTGCATCCCGTTCCTCCTCCAGGAACGTCCTTCATTTCAACCTGATTGTATAGGCCTTTCCCGCAACTGTCCGGATCGATCCCGTATACTCTTCCCCGTCCACAGTAAACGGCTTCCCATCCTGCACCCTCAAAGCCAGCACTCCTCCGCTCCTCGAGTCAATCTTGGCGGACTTCAACACCCCATTGCTCCATTCCATATCGACGACGAAATTCCCCCGCGCAACCAGACCACTCACACGACCATTTGGAACAGCGTCCGGCAGCGCCGGGAGGAGATGCACCACCGCATGACTCTGCAGCAGCATCTCCGCGATTCCCGCCGCGAAGCCAAAATTGCCATCGATCTGGAACGCACTGCCAGGCCCCTGGTCGGTGTTCCAGAGGTTGTCGGTTGGGTATTTCTGCAGGAAGTACTGCGCGTGGTGCCAGACGCTGTTGCCATCGAAGAGACGCGCGTAGAGACTCATTGTCCATGTGCGAGACCAGCCTGTGCTGCCGCTGCCTGAGGTGATGCGTTGGTCTAGGAGGACCTTGGCTGCGTTTGCTAGGGTTTTGTTGACGAGCGGTGCCATCTGGGAGCCGGGGTAGAGGCCTAGGATGGGGCTCATGTGTCTGTGCCCTGGTTCGGTCCCTTCGTACTCGCGTCGCCACTCGAGGATCTGGCCGTGGGAGCCGATAAGGGGTGGTCGGATCTTCGAGATGTATTTTTGGGCGTTGGTCAGGTCGTCGCCTGTGATACCTAGGACCTTGCAGGTTTCGATGACGGCTGCGAAGAGCTCGTGGAGTAGAAGGTTGTCCATTGTTGGTGCCAGGTCGATTCCAGTGGTCTCACCCGGGATAGTCATGTCCTTTGGGATTATGAACGCGTTCTCAGGGGAGATCGACGGACCGCTGGTGTAGTAGCCTTCGAAGTCAAAGAGGTAACAGTAGTAGAAATCGGCTGCGCTCTTGAGGAGTGGCCAGATACGCGTTTGCAAGAGGGTCTTGTCTTGGGTGAAGCGGTACTGGTCCATCAGATTCATCGACAACCACGCACTGCCCATGGGCCACATGGTCCACCTGGTTCCATTATCGACAGGGGCAGCATCTCCCCAGAGATCGGTGTTGTGGTGCAGGATATACCCCGTGTCGCAGTGGTACATTTTCTTGGCAACGTCCTGTCCATGCGGAACGACTTTATCCATGAGATCAATGACGGGCTCGAACGTGTCTGCAAGATTGGTAACCTGCGCATGCCAGTAGTTCATCTCCAGGTTGACGTCGACGGTGTACTTGCCTCCCCAGGCGGGTGAGTAGTCCTGGTTCCAGATACCCTGAAGGTTGGCGGGAAGACCGGAGGATGATCCTGCGCGAGAGGATGCAATGAGCGAGTGCCGGCCAAAGTTGAACATCAAGGTCACCAATTCGGGGTCGCTGTTGGGGTCGGTTCTGTAGTTCTTGAGTCTGATGTCCGTGGGCTGGTTTCCTGCGGATCCGGATGAGCCCAGCTCCAATTTGACACGGCCAGAAAGAGACTGGTAGTCTGAGGTTGCAGCTTGCTTCACTGCTGGGTAGCCTGATTTCACCGCGGCATCTAGCTGTTTCTTGACTACCGCATCTCGCCCAGTCTCATCGGGATATCGATAGCATGTCTGGGTGTCAAAGAAGATATCCACAATCGAGGCATCAGTGACCACAACCGCGGTTCCGTTGGTAGTGATTTGACCTACAACATTATTAGCCTTTACGCATAAAAGGGGGATAAAGATGAACATACCTCCACGATTCACCACCCTCGCCTGCGCAGTAAACCTAATAGGATCGGTACTTTGCCCACTATTCGCCTTCAGGGTCAGAGTACCCATGCCCTTACTACGTCCAGCAATCAAGCTCTCCACATATCTACCTCTTTCCAATGACGCAACCACATTCAAAGCACCGCCCTTGCTCGCCCGCAGCCGAACGGCCAATATGCCATGGGGATGACTAGCCACATACTCCCGACTAACCCGTCAGCCCTCCTCTATTCCCAGAGAAAAGCAACTTACCTATAAACCACATCCCCAACCTGATACCTCACACCCGCCACCCCTGCGTTCAGATCCAAAAAGCGCGTATAATTCCGCACACCAGCCGCGTCGTGCCCAAAATCCAATCTCAACGATGCAAGAGGGTGATACTCCCTCGGACTACTCGGAATACTCACCATTTCCTGCAGCACAACATCGTTCGCAGCACTGAGGTTGCCCGCCTCAAGCATAGCCCGTGAGTCCGTAAACCCTTCGTACGCCTTTGGGTTCACGCGGTCCTGGAAGGGACCACTCCAGATAGAGTTCTCGTTTAGGGTGATGTTGTCAACTGCGCCGCCCCAGATTGCGGCTGCGAGACGGCCATTGCCGATTGGGAGGGCGGAGGCAAAGTCCCCAGCTGGGGTGGTGTACCATGTGTATGTCGAGGGATTGAATGAGGAAGCGAGGGTTGGGGAGAGGGTAACCAGGGCTGCCAGTGCTGAGGTGAGCCACATTTTGCTGGTGTTTGCCAATCAATGCTTTGAACTGGTCACTAAATGCGTTATTCCCCCGCCCATAATCGTGTGAAATATATTTCATAGTTCGAAGTGCGGGGGTTCAGTAATATAAGCACCTAAGACAGACATCACCAGGTGTCATGTATATCCCTGACCCTCACCAGGAATTTAGCCAGAATGCATTTATCCAGGCTGATCGGCAGTAGTATACCAGGTATAAGCCGGCTTCAACCCCGCAGGATCTACAGACATACGATGGCACTATTTCTCGTACTTCAATGCTAATTTGCGATTAAATCATATGTCAGGTATATACATCCAATCATATGTCCTAAGTGAGCGCACGGAATTTCTAAGTTGAGAAGATTGGCTTCTTCTGAAGTATCTGCTTGAAGACCTGAAGCGAGGCTTCGGGTTCTACGGAGACATATTAGCATTGCCCTTGACCATGCGCAGCAGCAGGGTAAACTCACGGTAGTAGGGAACCTCGTGTCCGGCCTCATACACCCTCAAGAACGAGAAGTTGTCCACATATTTGAACGAGCCCTTCTCGACGCCATTAACCGTATACGGCGCCAGATTCTTGGACTTGAACGTCGCCTGTCCGGGAAAAGCAACAGCATTCGCAACCTCGTAGTTACCAAGCCAGTTGCAGATCCAGTCGGCGTCGCCCGCCCACACGATAACATTGATTCCGGACTTGACCACGTCGGAGAGAGTGGACAGGAACGAGCGAGGGTCTACGTCGTCAGCTGTGCACTCCTAGGAAGCAAGAGGGAACTTACTATCTCCCGTTTGCGAAAACTTGTTATACGGTCCGTCCGGGCATTCCTGGTAATTCGTACGCGCACCAATGGCTTTGACAACGTCGGCGTTGGCGAGGTAGGTACTGTATGTCTGAGGCGGAAAAGGGTCGTTTCTTGGCTGGCGGATATCGTACACATCAAAGTCACCAGAATTACTGATCGGCCCCTCAATGTTGGAGTAGCAGACACTGTCGGCGTTTCTACAGTCGGCGTTGGTGCCTGTCTTGGCGCATTTCTGGATCGCTGGCAGACACTGGCTGTTGTAGACGCTCAGCAGACGGGTGCGATCGGAAGAGTCGATGAGTTGGTTGTAGGTGTTGTTGTAGCTGTACTCGATGTACGCCTTTTCTTGGATGGCCGAGTCGATCCAGCCGTTGTTGACTCCCAATGCGACCAGGTTGATGTTTTCGCCAGACACCGTTCCGGCTTTGATGGCGGCGTTTTGCTCCTGAATGTACGAGGCGAATTCGGGGCCATAGTGTCCGCCGTAGGACTGGAAGATCAGCTTTTTCTGCTATCGCAAGCTCAGAGACGGGACTTACCTCGGTGAAGATGCCAAATTCCCGGCTTTCGTATTCCGGGAACTGCGCGTAGAAGGCCTGCAGCAACTTCCACACATACGGAGCAGCAGTCTCCGTGCTGGACACTTTGTTTGTACCGTAGGAGAAGCCAACGCCGATGGGCTGATCAATATATAGCATGTTGGCATAGTTGTTCCAGCTGTACTTGTTCAGCGAGGGGGTATCTTGGCCGTTGACAAAGTGGCAAGGGCCGTTCTCCTGGAACAGACCGATCATGGAGGAGCAACCAGGGCCACCGTTGAACCAGGCAGCGAGGGGAGCCTGCTTCGGGTTGTTGCGAGCCTCGAAGAACCTGCGCATATTAGGTCTGCATATCGATGTCATTGCATAGTACGTACCAGAACCACATGTTCATGTTATCCCCGACAGACAGATATCCAGAGTACTGATTCACCCCGGGAGTGGTCTCGCAGATACCCGAGTTCTTGACAAACTCCA